AGTGCAGACACCCTACTTTCATCACTGGTAGAGGAATGTTTAGGGCCTTAGTTGTGTGTCACAGTTTAGCGTTATTGAGAAGGTCTCCTCATTTGGAGGGTAGGGTAGGGAGAGGGGATGATTTTTTTTCTCTGCCAGAAGGCATCACAATTTTGGTTTAGTATTGAGGACACAGTGAATTGGAGCAGCAGCTGTTTAAAAATACTGGTCCAGGGGCCGGGGATTTAGCTCAGTGGTTCTGCCGCCTGCCTCACAAGCACAAGGATGCGAGTTCGATCCCTGGTACCAAAAAATAAAAAATAAAAATACTGGTCCATAGCTGAATTTTTTTCCTCCAGGTTACCCTTTTCTATATAATACATACATTTTTGGGGGGGCCAGGTACTGGGGATTGGACTCAGGACCTTGTGCTTTTGAGCCAGGCACAGTGCCACTGAGCTAAATCCCTGCCCTAATATTAATATTTTTGTCATACTTGTTTCATATAGAACATTTGCAAATTTGTACTAATAACTAGTGAATACTACTAATATTCTAGCACTGTATTAGTGAGGCAAGGATTTTAAAACATGTAAGGAGAAAAACATTCAGAAAAGCATAAGTTAGTTGTGCTGGTGTGTGCCTGTTAATCCCAGCACTGGGGAGGCTGAGGAAGGAGGATTCCAAGTTGAAGCCCAGCCTGGGCCATTTAATGAGACTCTGTCTCAAAATAAAAAATAAAGAGCTGGTATGTGTATGGGGGGGTAACTGAGTGTAAAAGCCATGGGTTTCAATTCCAGTAGGAAAGAAAGGAAGGAAGGGCCAGGCATGGTGGCGCATGCCTATAATCCCAGCACTGGTGAGGCTGAGGAAGGAGGATTGCCACAAGTTCCAGGCCAACCTGGGCTACATAGTGAGTTCAAGGCCAGTTTGAGCTACATAGCAAGACCCTGTCTCAAAAAAAAAAGGAAGGGAAGTAAAGAAAGAGAGTTTCCATAACTACAAAGGAAAGCATGTTAGGAGTAGGAGGAGTCTTAGACCTCAAACCCAGGGCCTTCACACTGAGCTACATCACCAGCTATTCCTTTATTTTTTATTTTGAGAGAGGACCTTGCTAACTTCCTAGGCTGGACTCAAACTTGTGATCCTCCTGCTCCTGCCTTTCAGATTGCTAGTTTTTCTGACAGTAAACTGCTGATAAAAATGTAATTCAAGTAACCAAGAACTATTTCTGCCTTATTTCATATTGTGCTTTTTCCAAGATGCTGAGTTACAAAATAAAATCTAAATTAAGAAATTATTAAAATTACGGACATGGCTTTTAGAAAAGAAAATGTCCAAAATGATTTGGTTTATCAACTGAAGACAATAGTTTTAATCTTTGTTACTTTTTCTTCTATCCAGCAAACCTGTCTCCCAGTGGTGTATTAACTCTTGTCTGTTCATCTGTATTAGAATCTCCACTGATGACTGTGTAGTATTACTAAGGACAAAAGTGGAGATAAGGTAAATGCTGTGCCCAAATCTTACGGAAATCAAAGAACTCTAGTAAGATGCCATACCCTGTTTCATTTTCCTTCTCATAGAACTAGTTCCAAAAAACATACAAAATATATTTGATTAAAAAATTTTTTTTTATTCATTAAGTTTATTGGTACATTTTAAGTGTCCAGTATGATGACATTCATCATTGGGATCTTGTACCTTTACATGATGTATCTTGGTTCTTAGTTTTTCCCCATTCCCCTGCCCTCCCTTCAACCCCTCCATCCTTTCCTATATACAGAGACTGTTTCCTTTCTTTCCTTTTCTCATATTTATTCCTTACCCTTCTTTTCTTTCCCCAAGCCCTCTCACTTCCCTTCCTCTTCCCCTTTGGACCTCTTTTCCCCATTACACATTAATATACATTTTGATCCTCATTTACACTTTCAGTTTCTCACACCAGAGAAACCATTAGGTATTTACACATGTGTGTCCTATTTATTTCACTTAAGAGTATGGCCTCAATATGGATCCATTTAGCTATAAATGATCTAATTCCTCTTTCTTTATGGCTGAGTAGTACTCTGTTTTATAAAAAAAAAAAAAATCACACATTTTCTTTATCCAGTCACCAGTTGATGGGCACTTGGGCTGTTTCCAAGTTTTAGCTATCACAAACTGTGCCAGTATAAACATGGGTGCACATATATCTCTGTGATACGATTCTTTTAATTCTTTTGGAAAGATACCCAGCACAGGAATAGCTGGGTCAAATGGGACTTCTAATCCTAGTTTTTTTAAAGTATCTCCATACTGATTTCCACAGTGGTTGCACCAGTCTGCACTCCCACCAACAATGGAGAAGGGTTCCTTTCTCCCCACACCCCCGCCAGCATTTGCTATTGGATAATTTCTTGATAGCAGCCGTTCTTTCTGAGGTGAGGTAGAATCTCAGCATTGTTTTCATCTGCATCTCTGGAATGACCAGTGATGTTGAACATTTTTTCACGTTTATTTGGTGCTTTTTCTTGTTTGTCTGAGAAATGTCTGTTCATTTCAGATGCCCAGTTTTGAATTGGGTCTTTATATTTGGGGGTTAATTTTTTTGAGTTCTTTATAGATTTTAGATAGTAGACCTTTGTCTGAGGTACAGCTGGTAAAACTTTTTTCCCACCTTGTAGGTTGTCTCAGCTCTGTTGGTGGTTTTTCTTACAGTGCAGAAGCTTTTTAATATGATGAGATTCCAGTTGTTGATTCTTGGTGCTAGTTCCCGTGCTACTGAGGTTTTGTTCATAAAGTCTTTTCCTATGCCTGTTCTACCCATGCGGGTTAGAATAATAGAAATGCACCACACTGTGTGTCAGATTGGAGTCCGTTTATTAAAGCTGGTGGCTGGGGTGGGGCTGGAGCCCAGAAAGTTCTCTTGGCCCTGAGAAACGGTTTGATTTCTCCTTATAAATCCTGCTTTCAGTTGGGGAGGGCTCAGGGGAGAGCAAGCAGAATCTTATAGAAGCAGAACCTTGCCAGTTTGGTGGGGGATAGAGGGAAGTTTCACACACTAGGTGAACTACAAAACATCCTGCAGGGTCAGGGATTTAGCTCAGTGTTTCCCGTGCCTGCCTCACAAGCACAAGGTCCCGAGTTCAATCCCCAGTACCAAAAAAAAAAAACAAACAAAAAAAAACATCGTGCAGCTGCAGCAAATTTACCGCCAAGCAGGATGCGGGGATTTGGGTGCATTGTCCAAGCACAGGTACAAACTGGTGTTGAGGCTCAAGATGGAGTCGGGTTGGCTATCACATGCCAATGTCTTCAAGAGTTCTACCTAACCTATCTTCCAACAAGTTTAGTGTTTCAGTTTTAATATTTAGATCTTTGATCCACTTCGATTTTAGTTTAGTGCATGGTGAAAGATAGGGGTCTAGTTTTCATCTTTGGCAGGTTGAAATCCAGCTTTTCCAGCACCATTTATTAAAGAGGCTATCTTTCCTCCAGTGAAGATGGTTGGGTCCTTTGTCAAAGATGAGGGGGCTGAGTTTGTCTGGAGTTGTTTCTGCATCTTCTAATCTATTCTGCTGATCCTTGGGTCTCTTTCTTTGCCAGTACCATGCTGTTTTTATCTCAGTGGCTTTGTAGTATAGTTTCAAGTTGGGGATTGTGATACCCTCTGTCATTTCTTCTAGTTCCAAATGAATTTTTGGATTGTTTCCTCTAGTTCTGTGAAATATACTGTTGGGATTTCAGTAGGGATTGCATTGAATCTATCTAGCAATTTTGGAAGTATGGCCATTTTCACTATATTGGTTCTTCCTACCCAGGAGCAAGGGATGTCTTTCCATTTTCTTATATCCTTTTTTTTTTTTGCTACCAGGGATCCAACTTGGGACCTTGAGCTTGAGAGGCAGGCGGCGGAACCACTGAGCTAAATCCCCGGCCCTTCTTATATCCTCATTAATCTCTTTTTTTTAGAGTGCTGTGGTTTTCGGTGTAGAAGTCTTTCACTTCCTTCGTTAGATTTAGTCCTAGATATTTCATTTTTGGAGGTACTACTGTAAAAGGAATTGTTTCCCCAATTTCTCTCTCAGTGAGTCTGTTATTTGTGTACAAGAAGGCTATTGTTTTTTGAGTGTTGACCTTGTATCCAGCTACTCTACTGACTCTGTCAATCAAGTCTAGAAGTCTTTTTTTTTCTTTCTTTCCTGGACCTGGGATCAAACTCAGGACCTTACGCTTGCCAGGAAGGTGCAATGCCGCTAAGCTATATCCCCGGCCCAAGTCTAGAAGTCTTCTGGCTGAGTTTTTAGGGCCTTCTACATAGAGTATCATGTCATCAGCAAATAATGGCAGTTTAACTTCTTACTTTCCTATCTTTATTCCTTTTATTTCTTTTTCTTGTCTAGTTGCTGTGGCTAATGTTTCCAGAACTATATTGAACAGGAGTGGTGACAGTGGGTATATTTGATTTTAAAGTATAATTTAGACTTTAGAAAGAAACAAGGACTAGGGTTTGTTTCTGGTGTTTAAACTGAGGCACAACTCTCCAGGTCTGTTTCTTCGTCTTAAATGTGTGAAAAATTGTAGTGCCTAATTCACAGGGTTGTTTTGAAGAATATATAAAATAATGTATGTAAAATACTTAGTGCTGAGTTGGGAAAATAATGAATGCTCAGTACATGGCTTAAGAAGGAGCTGGGGACATAGCTCAGTGGGAAAGAATTTGCCCAGCATGCTTGAAGCCCTAGGTTCCATCCTCAGAACAACAAAAAGAGCAGAAGAGAAAAAAGAAATCCCTGCATGCATAGGGATCTTTCTCTTCTTCATTATGCATTTTGATCTCCTCAGGCCCTGTGGCATAAGTATGGCATTAAGGCTGTCAAGTCCTTCCACACCACGGGCAGCAGCTCAAATCTAATGCTTTCCCTATAGCAGAACGGATTGGTTCCAAGTAGCCCAGAGGGGTGCATGCCGGAACAGATGGAATTACCAAGGTTTGAAGGGTTTTCTCTTTACATACTTTCTTTTATTTTTTAAAACAGTGCCTTTGAAGATGAGACTGTGAAGCTTCGACAACTGAAACTAGACAACCAGGTGAGCAGAGCCTCCTCTTTTGAACTAAGTGGACAACTGTACTGACTGTAATGCTGATGACCTTGGCTCTGAAGTCTTTGTAGAAAAAAACTAGAAAACAAAGTGCTCTGAGGGGATTTTGGTTAGGGTTTTATAGAGGAACAGAGTCGATAGAAAAAAATTGCTTATGTATATATAACTATATATATGAATATATATAAATTTGTCCTCTCTGTATATAAGGATTTACTAGTTAGGCCTGCAGGGTCAGAGGCAGGATGCTCTACAGTGATTGTCTGCAAGCTAAAGAGCCAGAGGATCCAGTCACTGCTCAGTCTAAGAAAATGGAAGCTACAGAACAAGAGAGATCCAGGAGACAGCTGCAGTCCAAGGCCGAAAGACTTGAAGCTCCTTGGAGAGTTGCCTGCACAGTCTGCATTGAAAGACTGAAGAAGCTGGAGTCTGATGCCCACAGGCAATGGCAGTAGCAAAAGATGCACCTGCTAAGCTCGGCGTGGTGCCACACACCTATAATCCCAGCGCAGGTGAGGCCGAGGCAGAAGGATCACCAAGAGTTCAAGGCCAGCCTGAGCTACATGGTGAGTTCAAGGCCAGCCTGGACTACATAGGGAGACCCTGCCTCAAACCACCACCACCCCACCAAGAAAACATGCACTTTTTAGCAGAATGGACCTTTTCAAGTGCAGGCAGACTTCCTCCTTCTTCCCTTTTCATTCTACCTGGGCTGTGAGCCTGGTGGGTTGTGCTGCCCATAGGGCAGCTCTGTTCCCTGCTTCTGCAGGCCTGCATGTGATCATCTTTGGAAACACTCCACAGACACCTTCTGATCTGCTAGGTGTCTTAACATCACCACAGTTGCAGATGGTTATACTTAGCAATCTCTAGGGTTAGTATTTGCTGTAACAGTGCTCTGGGCCATGGTAAGAGCAAAGAGCTTTGAAGTTGTCAGCAATAAAACTGGTCTCAGATTTATAATCAATGAAAGTTCCTTGGCACCTTTCAAAGAATTATGCAAATAGGATTTTTTTTTAATGGTACCAGGGAATTCAGCTCAGGACCTTGTGCTTGCCAAGCAGATGTGTCACTGAGCTATATCCCCGGCCGCTCAAAGAATTAGAACAATGTGGTATTAGTTAACTTTCTGTTGCTGTAACAAAATATCTGTTGCTAGGTACTTTATAAAGAAGAGATTCATGTGGTTTACAGTTTTGGAGGCTGGAAGTCCAACATAGACAGCCGAATCAAAAAGGGAAATCTACAGAAGAGAGATCACATGGCAAGACAAGCAGCCAGAGATTCAGGGGCCAGGATGGCTGTTTTTGTAATGACTTACTCTTGGAACTAGCTGGAGTTCTAGGGTGAGAAGCACATTCATCTCTTCCTAGGGCCAGGTCACACATGACCCAGCCACCTCTACTAGCCCCAGCACTGGGACAAGACTGCCACACAGGTGCCTCGGAGGCATGCTCAGACAACAGCGCCATGGTGTTTCTGTGTACTCATTTGGTTCTGTTACCTTAAAGACACCGAACTTCATTTGTACTAAAATGTGATCAGATCTTACTGCTATGCGGCTTAATTTTCTTCCCAGCACTGGACTGTTTTTTATTACAGTTTTGTTGAAGTAATTTTACTTGTTTGTTTCCTTTACTACTCACCACGAGAACAAAAACCAAGCATGGATTTTTAAAATATATTTTTAATTGACACATAACATACTTGTACATATTTAGGGGGTACAGTGTAAAATTTCAGTGCTGCATTTTTTTTTTTTTTTGGTACCAGGGATCAAACTCAGGACCTTGTGCTTATGAGGCAGGTGGTGGAACCACTGAGCTAAATCCCTGGCCCTCAGTATTGCATTTTTAAGGAGGTTTGTTTTGGCTATAATACCACACATTTTTTTATGACTGTTATATTAGACTTTCCCAGTACAGTGGTACCTCTGTTCACAAACTTAATTCTTTCCACAATTCTGGTCACAAACAGAACTGGACAAGAACCAAATCAAATTTCCCCATAAGACCAACATTGAACCTAACCATTGAATTTGATTTGGTTTTCATCCAATTTGGTTTGTGACTAGAATTACAGAAAGAATTGAGTTTGAGAGTAGGCTGGGCCTGGCAGGGGCCTTGGGACTCGGCTGTAGGTCGCTGCCTGCGTGTTAGCATGATCCAGGGACGGCAGCCAGGGCCACAATGACAGAGTACAGAGAGGAGCAGCAAAATGAGTACAGAGTACAGTACAAAATGATGGCAGAGTACAGAGGGGCAGATAGACTCAAGAGATCTGAGTCCATCTGCCCTGACTCCTTCACAGTGTTAGAGAATCCACCCAGCTTCGCCATCACTGTGACATCTGAGGCTGGAGAAAATGATGAAACTGTCTAGACTACCCTCAATTTTACACACCATGAAAAATACCCAAATGAAGTCATCTTTATGAAATATTCTCCCAGGAAAATCGAGAAGATAATGATGTCACAGACATTTTTAAATTATTACATTGCAGGCTGAAGAAAATCTTGGTGCAGTCATGATCTTTACTCTAGTGACAGCCATGCAAGAAAAATTAAATGAAGTAATAGGTCAGATAAAAAGGAGACAAGAGGAGGAAAAGAAACTAAAAGAAAAAAAAGCAGAGAAGCAATTATTCCATGGTACCCCTGTTACAGTTGAGAATTTATGTTGGGAACCCAAGTTTGATCCAGAACTCTTAAAAATTAAGAAACAGATAAAAGAAGAACAATCAGGAAGCAAATTAAGTGGCAAACAGCTGTTTGAAACAGATAACAGTCTGATGCATCTGACATTCAGTTCTTGGAGGATGCTGGAAATGATGTAGAAGTAGATGAGTCTTTGTTCTGAGATGGGTGGCTTGGAGCTGGAGAACATTGAGGATGATCAGACCACAGTCCTGATGGCCCAGGGAGTAATGCACTGTCTCCATCTCCAGAGGGACCTGACAGCCACAGCATGTGGCCATGTTGCCGTTTTAATTTTGCTTTTTTTTTTTTCTAAGAAAAAAATAACTTTCAGGAAAATATTCTGATAGCTCTCATCATTGAGCTTAATAAACTGACTGTAACACTTCAAATATAAAATTCCATTTCCTCTTATTGGTGAACAGAAGATTACATATTTAACATTAATGTTGGAGGGAGATCCTACCTATAACACCAAGACTTGAAGGTGAGCAGCTGCCATATGGATATGTGGGTTTACGTACAAGGAACTGGAATAACTCATAATTTTTGTTTGTTTTTGGTACCAGGGATTGAACCCAGGACCTTGCGCTTGCAAGGCAAGCTTGGCGCCACTGAGCTAAATCCCCGGCCCTATAACTCGTAATTTCTATCCTGGAGATGATGGTTACTTTTGGATTCCAAATGTTGTCTTTCTTATGAAGTGTTAGAATACTGAGACAAATAGAACATTAAACCTGGATTCTAGCCTCTTAGCATAGTAAATTTAAGTTTTAATAGAACCAGAAGCCTAAATTATAGTCAGGAATAAAATGGACTTCATTACTATAATAGTACCTGAATGCAAATTTTTGATGTTTATAAAAGTTATGTACTTCTAGGCCCCTCTCAGTTTAAATTTATGAGCCCCAGTCTGAGTTTTAAAAGTGAACTCTGATACAAAAAAAGAATTAAGTTTGTGAACTAAGGTACCACTGTACTATATAACCTCTCATTAAATGTTTGAAGGAATGAAGGAACGAATGCTTCATGTTGTTATATACTGTGATCATTGTGCTTAGGCAGCTTTTCTCTTTTTTTTTTTTTTGGTACTGGGGCTCGAACTCAGGACCTTGCGGTTGTGAGGCAAGCAGTGGTGCCACTGAGCTAAATCCCCAGCCCTAGGCAGCTTTGAACCTGTATGTGATGTGCATTTCTTTCATATTTACTTTCTCAAATGAATTTTGTTAGTTTTGTTTTTCTTTGAATTACTGGTGATTGAAGCAGTAATCTCTTTGGACTGTGTCCACTAGTGTTCAGTAATGTGTTAGAGCCTGGGCTGCCACTGTGCACACGTGCAGGTTAAGGGTTGAGCATTGACAGGAAGTATAGCTAGAAAGACAGCACCACCTGATGAAGGAGGCATCAGTCTGCAAATCAGAAGGCTTCAGTTCCAGTTCTAACTCTGCTGTTAATTGGCTGCTGTGTGACTTGAAATGAGATCCTGAAACTCTGTGGGTCTCATTTCACTTAGAGTGAAGTTGGACTGGATAAAATAATAAAATGTTAGAATCTTGGGATGTTGAAGTTGGAGATGAGATGGAGGTGTGTGGACCCAAGGTACTTTGCTGCTTAGTTAGGTCCCTAGGCTGGCAGAGTCTTGCAGGAGCCTCACAGTGCAGAGCAAGCCAGCCTGCCTGAGGGCACAGCCCCACCCACCAGTGACACCAGCGCATTCTGAGGATAACCTCATCCCATAGCAGTGGATGTGGCTTCCAGTTTCTGTACATACTCACCAATACTTGCTAGTGTCTGTCCTTAGTCATTTTAGTGGGTAAGAAGTAATAATTCATTGTAGTTTTGATTCACATTTTCCTAATGATGTATTTGGTATGTTATTATCAGCCACTTGTATATTATCTTTTAAGGAATTTACAAATCCTTGCCCATTTAAAAAAAATATTCTAGATCAGCTGATGCTGAACCTTTTAGAGACGAGTACCCAAATTCCAACCCAAAACCCACTTATTTATCACAAAGTGCCAACACTACAGTTAAACATGAATTCTGAAGTTTTAGTTTAGAAAAAAAACTCATGCATTAATGTCTTTTGTCTTAAAGAAAAAATAACTTGCGTGTCATAGGTTCACCACCACCGTTCTAGATGTAAGTTCTTTATCAGACATACAATTTGTAGACATTTTCTGCCATTCTGTGAGTTTTTTATTTCCTTATGGTATCATTTCCAGCATAGAAGTATTGTCTATGTTTTTCTCCAATCATGTACACTTTAGTATTATATCTAAGAAACCAT